TGCAGGCGAGCCAGGATCTCACTACATATTAGTGTATCACCCGGTGGTTTATCGGGGAAGTCACCGAGGGCATCACAGGGCCTGACCTGGGGCGAGGGATCGAGGCTCTCTCAACTGCTATTACAAGAGCCTTAAGACCGCGAGCTCTGTGATCAACTTGTGAAGCAGTGAGTCCACAACATTAAGTCACATCACAGTGCGTGTGGTCTCGCCTAATCCAGTCCGCACTCTCACCAAATACGCTGTATTTTGTTGTTGTTGACGGAATCGACAAATCCGCTAACACAAATTATGACGTATTTGCACGGCTCCCAGCCACCCAGCAGCACGGACGGCTCCCAGCCACCCAGCAGCACGGACGGCTCCCAGCCACCCAGCAGCACGGACGGCTCCCAGCCACCCAGCAGCATGCACGACTCCCAGCCACCCACCAGCACGGACGGCTCCCAGCCACCCACCAGCACGGACGGCACCCAGCCACCCACCAGCATGCACGACTCCCAGCCACCCACCAGCACGGACGGCTCCCAGCCACCCACCAGCATGCACGGCTCCCAGCCACCCACCAGCATGCACGGCTCCCAGCCACCCAGCAGCACGGACGGCCCCCAGCCACCCACCAGCACGAACGGCTCTCAGCAGCACGCCCCAGGACACCATCACCGTGGCACCTGCTGGCACGCCCCGTCCAGGAATCAGGAGCCCGTGCGGGGCCTCACGCGGGAGATTCGACTCAAAGGATTAGTGTGTGACTTATGGAACAGATATTTAGGTACTTTACTGCCTATCCGTTTGAGCTGTAGTATATAATTATAGATTTCGTGCGAGGCGTCTACATGACTGCCGGATCTCCCTCACTGCATCAACACCTGTACAGGTGTGCCAGCTGGTACAGGTGTACCGGCTGGTACAGTTGTGCCAGCTGGTCGCATGGCAAGAAAAAGTCTCACCCCAATACTTCCATAACTCTGACCCTCCCTAATGAGAGATTACGGAGTGTAGCTCAAAAGTTAGCTGAGTTCATTTAATATCCCAAGCCCCGGGGATTCATTTAGTATCCCACTAATATTTTTCAGCCACGTTATTGTGACTCTTCATCTGTATCTGCTTAATATCCCCATCTCCCAGGATGGTTAGTCATGTATGGATCTAAAAAAACAGATGAGTTGAGAGTCTAGTCTACTAGCATGCACTAGTTAACTCTTGGTAGAGCTCAAGAATATATTCCAATATTTGTGAGTGTATGAAGTAGTTACAGAGCTCAAAGTACCTCATACCATTTGATCTAAAGTCATTGATAACAGGGCAATCACAGGTATAGTGTTGAGAGTATGTCCCAGCTCTTGTTCACATAGTTTACATTGTGAATGTTTACCATTGGGGGACTCATTATCTGCAGCCTGCAAACTGCAAATAGTTTGTCCACCCATATGTCTTCAACATCTCCATGAACATCAATTGAAAAGTTATGACATCTCTATCCAATGGATTCCAACGTACTGTAGCATACTCCATAATGGACAGGTGGGCCACCTGGCTAAAGCAATGCACGACACATCTTTCATTACCCGCTATCCAAGTCCTAATGTTGCACGTAAAGGAGCCTTAAAGTTGCCATCACCCAAGATTTTATAACGAAATGGAAAACGTCAAGCTCGTCCCTATACTATGGAACCACACACAAAAAAAGATATTTGTTGGGGTGTCAGGCAGCAAATTTCACTCAAGGTGGAGCTTGGGACCTTCCCTAGGCTGCAACCCACACAATAGTTGGGTACTCTTGGGTACTCTTAGGTACCTATTTAATGAACAGCGTATTTCATGAAAGGAAACGTGTCCAATCATTTCTATCCCTCCAGGGCATGAAACCCGGGATCTCCGATTGTGAGGCGAGAACGAAGACAATTGTACTACTGGTAGTTAAGTTCAATAGACAATGCCATAGTGTTCGACTAATTCAAAACGTAAAACGATATTTGGTTCGTATCGAGGAACTTAGCCTTAGGATTGCGGTCTACAAAGGTTAGGGTTGCAATACATATATTGATTCGTTTTCTTTGAATATTTATATTATAGTTTTCTTTGAACCGTACCTGTCTTGTTGGGTAAACTAACTCAATAATACTACTAGATCTGTAATGAATTTATTGACCCTACTGTCGGGGACAGGGAGTCCCTAAAAGGCTTAGCGAGGTCCCTTTAATCCAACGGTTGACCTTTCTCAGGATGCAATAGGCTATACCATCCAAACTAAGCTGTTTATGGAAAGCTTTGGTGTACACAATGTACAGTGAGCCGTAGAGGTGAAATACTTGTCCATTCTGTATTTAAATACAACTACGACATTATACTGAATTATACAAATTGAAAAACTGTTCAAAAAATTTTCAAGTTAATTAACGAAAATGTATTTTGGTTCGTTAGAGAGAAAACTTTTTCCGTATATTTTATTGCCGTTTTCCCAATTGATATATCAGACAAAGTACAGATAAAGTATTTTAATAATTCATTGTGTCGGTGGTCAGGCAGCAAATGTGAATTCATACACATTAGGATTATTTCAAGGTATAGCGAGTCTATTGTCTAGATAATGGTCCAGGACGGACCGAAACGTCGTCGTCTCCTCTTTTTCTGGTGTGTGGTTCAGTCTTCAGTACGAATGATGCCACTATTAGTCTGCTTAATATAATCTACGAAGCCCTTGACAAAAATGAGTTCCCAACTGGCCTCTTCAATGACATGAGAAAGCCCTTTGATACTGTAAACCATAACCACCTCTTAAACTTCACCACTATGGTATCCGAGGCCTTGCTCTGGACTATATTCGTTCCTATCTCAGTGACAGACACCAATATGTAGTCATCAATAACATAACCTCCCCTACTCTACCATTGAGAGTAGGGGTGCCACAGGGCAGCAACTTGGAACCTCTCCTATTTCTTACATCAATGATTTGCCAAATGTTTCTAATATTCGTAAAACCTATACTACTTGCTGACGATACTACCTTTATTTATTCTGACCCCAACCCCCCACACAGTAAATAATATTGTCAACAATAAATAAAAATAAAGTCCACTCATGAATGTCAACGAACAAACTTATACTAATCATTAAAATGACCTACTACATTTTATTTGGTAGTAAATCATCAAATCAAATTCAACTTCAGATAGACAATGTTAATGTTACCAATAAAAATGAAGGAAAGTTCCTTGTCCTATACATAGACAAGAGACTGAACTTCACTTCAGCACCCACATACTACACATTGCTAAAAAAAACTCTCGAAAACGGTCGGTATGCTTTCTAAAATCAGATATTAGGTTCCCCGCTCTGCTCTCCACTCATTATACTACACGCTAATCTATCCCTACCTTACATACGGTATCTGTGCAAGGGGTTCAACCACTGCAAACTACCTCAAGCCTATCATCACTCAGCAAAAATCTGCTATCAGAACTATAACAAACTCTGTTTTCAGACAACACACAGCCCCTCAGTTTAAGTCCCATAACATGCTGAACACACACTCACTTCACACATTCTCTTGTGCTATTTACATGTACAAAACCTTGTTCCTAAATGAGAATCTTGATCTGAAACTTTTCCTTGTTAGGTGTAATTGAACCCATGAGCACCACACCAGAAATAAATATCACCAGAGTCAGACTAAATCTGTGCAAACAATCTATGGAAGTAAATGGACTCAATCTTTGGAACTCACTCCCAGGTATAGGTTAAGTAATAATTGTAATTACGAAGCAATAAGATGCTTATCTTAACATACTAAGAAGGTTAGGTAAGGTCGGTGTTTTCTATGAAGCTTTTCAAGGTAAACTAAAATATTCACAATCAATTAGTATGTCACATGTGCACTTATTAAATAAGCCAATATTGACTATACGTAAGTGCGAGAACGGGTTGCACTCCCTAATGAAGTAAACAATTGTCCAACCTCTGCCCTGTTCAAAAGTAAAACCGAAAAGTACCTAATTTCATCCTCATAGTTTCCGACCTGGTGCTTCAAACTCACACTCTATCTTGTATTACCCACTTTCCCATTATTAGTACTTAAGACTAATTAGTACTTAATCTTTATCAGTGTAATCACCTCTGTCAATTTATATTGTTGATATAAAACCTTGCTATAATTTACCTTTTAATCTTATCTGACTTGTTAGATTAAGGACCTGCCCGAAATTATATTTTTGTTAGTGGCTTCGCAAGAATGTAAAATATAACTTTAATGTAATCTCACAATCGATTGTACTTCTTGTAAATAAAACAAATTAATAATAATACAATAATATTATATTATTATTATTATTATTTTTATTATTATTATATGCGCCCTAAAATGCACAGAATAGTAGGAAATTTAAATAAATACTACAAATTAAATGAAAGGGTTTAATAAGGGATACTTTAAATCCAAGTAGGAGCTGAAAGTGATGTTGCACATGTTTACATAATGAAAAATAAATAAACAAACACTGGTTAGAGAACTTGTGTTACAGCTCCCAAGCAACACAGCATCACCAGCACACTCACTGGACAGTTGGAGCTTAGGTTCAATATATGAGTGTGGAACGGTTGTTATTAATATTAACCGTTTCTCATGGGCCAAAAAGTGTTTTACAGATTCCGTCGTGCATATGTTCTTATATAAGTACTTGCTTCTACCTTGACATTATTAAGGAGCAGTCACATAAAACGTCACGTAACGTGTCACGTCACATGGCGAGACTTGTACTAGGAACAAAGTTGTATCAAGATTCCCACAAGCACTATTACCCTAAGAGAGAGACCACCACCACCACCTCGTCATTAACAGAAATATCAGAAATACCAATAAATCAAAATTAAGTTTCTATAGAAACTGTAATATAAATTGGCTGATTTTTACCAGAAGACAAATTTTTGAATCCTTGATATATATATATATATATATATATATATATATATATATATATATATATATATATATATATATATATATATATATATATATATATATAATCAATAATGACAAATTATATATATAAAAGTTGACTAATTATATATAAAAAAGTTGCACTGATGTGTTTGGCTAACATGTTCTGAAAGTTGTTAATGTCTGAGTTAGAATTTCAGGATTAGTTACAACAGATCAGGTCTGCCTTTTGCAAATTCTCCGTTGAATTTGTGAATATTATAGTTAATGGCACAATAATCACAGATTGGTTAAACACGTCACACTATATATGGTGGATGTTGTAACCGCCATAATTCAAGCAATAGCATCTTGGGACCACATCCAGCAGGCAATTGGTCTCTTATAGTCCCCCAATTATCGTCGTTTTCTATAGTGGTAAATCTGGCGGTAAAGCAGGGTGTACTTGTCTATACAGTGACGTCGCCATGGCCTTGGTTATACAGTGACGTTGCCATGTCCTTGATTATACAGTGACGTCGCCATGTCCTTGATTATACAGTGACGTCGCCGTGTCCTTGTATATACAGTGACGTCGCCGTGTTAGTTGTTCCTGCTGGAGGTCCTCGACCTCTTGGTGCTCGGAGAGCGGGGCGAGCCACCATTGTTGAGGACCCGCTTGACGGCGCGAGGCGGCCCACTGCCTATGAAGCTCATGCTGGGGGAGAAGACCCGGGTCTCCACGTGCTGGAGGGGAGAGAAACAAACACATACACGCGTTACCAGTCTTATTAAGCACATCTGAGCGCCACGCGTTACTGATTTTGACAAGTTCTCTAATATTTACTGACCGGAAGTATTTTGTTTTTTTGTTCTTAGAGAATTTTGTTTAGTTTGCCCCCTCCGGCCCCTGTGGTTTTTTTGTTTTTGTGTGTTAGCGTTTTCATTGTGGCAGATTGTTTTGAAAAGTTGTCTTTGTCAAGTTTTTTACCATGTTGTTGAGTTCTTGTGGATGATAATGACTGAATATTTTTTACCTTTATTTTATCCAAAGCCTGGAGGCTTTGTTCCTCACCTGGAGGCTTTGTTCCTCACCTGGAGGCTTTGTTCCTCACCTGGAGGCAATGTTCCTCACCTGGAGGCTTTGTTCCTCACCTGGCGGCAATGTTCCTCACCTGGAGGCAATGTTCCTCACCTGGAGGCAATGTTCCTCACCTGGAGGCTTTGTTCCTCACCTGGAGGCAATGTTCCTCACCTGGAGGCTTTGTTCCTCACCTGGAAGCAATGTTCCTCACCTGGAGGCTTTGTTCCTCACCTGGAGGCAATGTTCCTCACCTGGAGGCTTTGTTCCTCACCTGGAGGCAATGTTCCTCACCTGGAGGCTTTGTTCCTCACCTGGAAGCAATGTTCCTCACCTGAACATGATGGTAATGTTCGATGTGGTGCCTGACAGCGGTCCATATCTTGTTGTCCTTGATGAGCTCGGTGATGGCGTCAATATCAGGGGCGAGGAAGCGGTCCTTGTCATACGGTCTGTCGGATCACACGAAGGTTAAAGAGGACCTGAAGAAGCGGCCTCCAAGATACAAGAAAAATCACCCCAAATTCAGGATACAAAACTGTGGTCTTCCCAGCTGGGTCAAGCCCTGGCCCCTGCCCTCTGATCCCACAGCTGGGTCAAGCCCTGGCCCCTGCCCTCTGATCCCACAGCTGGGTCAAGCCCTGGCCCCCTGCCCTCTGACCCCCACAGCTGGGTCAAGCCCTTGCCCTCTGACCCCCACAGCTGGGTCAAGCCCTGGCCCCCTGCCCTCTGACCCCCACAGCTGGGTCAAGCCCTGGCCCTATGTCCCCCACAGCTGGGTCAAGCCCTGGCCCTATGTCCCCCACAGCTGGGTCAAGCCCTGGCCCTATGTCCCCCACAGCTGGGTCAAGCCCTGGCCTCCTGCCCTCTGACCCCCACAGCTGGGTCAAGCCCTGGCCCTCTGTCCCCCACAGCTGGGTCAAGCCCTGGCCCCCTGCCCTCTGTCCTCCACAGCTGGGTCAAGCCCTGGCCCCCTGCCCTCTGACCCCCACAGCTGGGTCAAGCCCTGGCCCCCTGCCCTCTGTCCCCCACAGCTGGGTCAAGCCCTGGCCCCCTGCCCTCTGTCCCCCACAGCTGGGTCAAGCCCTGGCCCCCTGCCCTCTGTCCCCCACAGCTGGGTCAAGCCCTGGCCCCCTGCCCTCTGTCCCCCACAGCTGGGTCAAGCCCTGGCCCCCTGCCCTCTGTCCCCCACAGCTGGGTCAATCCCTGGCCCCTGCCCTCTGTCCCCCACAGCTGGGTCAAACCCTGGCCTCCTGCCCTCTGTCCCCCACAGCTGGGTCAAGCCCTGGCCCCCTGCCCTCTGTCCCCCACAGCTGGGTCAAGCCCTGGCCCCCTGCCCTCTGTCCCCCACAGCTGGGTCAAGCCCTGGCCCCCTGCCCTCTGTCCCCCACAGCTGGGTCAAGCCCTGGCCCCCTGCCCTCTGTCCCCCACAGCTGGGTCAAACCCTGGCCTCCTGCCCTCTGTCCCCCACAGCTGGGTCAAGCCCTGGCCTCCTGCCCTCTGTCCTCCACAGCTGGGTCAAGCCCTTGTCCTCCTGCCCTCTGACCCCCACAGCTGGGTCAAGCCCTGGCCCTCTGTCCCCCACAGCTGGGTCAAGCCCTGGCCCCCTGCCCTCTGTCCCCCACAGCTGGGTCAAGCCCTGGCCCCCTGCCCTCTGTCCCCCACAGCTGGGTCAAGCCCTGGCCTCCTGCCCTCTGTCCCCCACAGCTGGGTCAAGCCCTGGCCTCCTGCCCTCTGTCCCCCACAGCTGGGTCAAGCCCTGGCCTCCTGCCCTCTGTCCTCCACAGCTGGGTCAAGCCCTGGCCTCCTGCCCTCTGTCCCCCACAGCTGGGTCAAGCCCTGGCCCCCTGCC